TAGAAAATAGTTTTAATAATAATGAAACTGATCAATCCTATAAAACTTACCCGTCATAATTTTCCTGATCTCTGTTATTCATTGGAGATACAAATTTACTGTTGAGACCTCGTCTAAAAGAAAACAATTTCTTTTAAATTGAAATAAATAAATATTGATATCTTCAAAGTGAGCTTGACATATTTTAAAAATTGATGAGCGCAACCATTACATTGTAATCTTAGAGAAAAAAAAAAAAGATACAAAGAATTTAAAGCTAACCTATTAAAATTACTTAGATAAAACCATTTCTTTTACTTTTTAGGTATTCAATAGGTGAGACAAGGACACTGGAAGCCATAAAATGCATAATTTCTCAGTTTATTTGCTACTGGAATCAATTTAAACTATAGCTAACATAGGAAAAAGAAGCTCTTGATATTTTTTGTACTTCAGTTTATCTGGCTATGCTTAAAATTGTTCAATGATATTAATTGTATTTTCAATGTTATAGCAAAATATGAAAAAACACTATTGCTTTATAAACCTTACCTGGTTCCAAGACATTTTCTACTAACGCTTGTAGTTGTTGATCCACTACCCACTCCTCTTCCATATTTTTTCTGATGATTAACAACCTTAAAAAGAATAATACGTTCATGAATTATATTTTTGGTATACTGGTATCTGTGTTATACAGACCTAGAAATGTTATTGCAGATATTTTTCTACTAACAAAAAGATGATTAGAAAATTGATTACTAAATTTTACTTTCTTTAATTGCACATCATTTTTTTTAAACATTTATAATATATAAGAAATGACAAATTGGTACACAAAATATTAATTGTAAAAATTTAATACTTTAAAATTATTACAATTGTACATAGGAATAAACTTGGAATGTTAAAACTCACCACTTAGTTAAAAGGAATAAATTTAAAGACTTCAGGTAATCAATTACTCCCTCACATGTGAGGAGCACATTTTTAAATTATTTGATTATTTTATAATCAGAAAATGGATTGTTTTTTTCCTTGATACACAAGATATATATATGTATATTTTCATTATTTTATGTAAATGTACAATGTATGAGTTTTTTAATGGATATTTAAGGCAGTTTAAGCAAAAGGATTTGCTACTGGCTGCTGTTTCAGAAAATTTGAGTAGCAATACAGAGGAATAAATTTGTGAAGAAAAACTATTTTTAAGTAAAATTTATAATAATGTCTAATTTAGTCAGATATAATACTAATCAACTGTCTACTAACAACACTTATGCCTTATAAATAATTATATCAACATGTACCATTTGATTGATATCTAAATACTATTCAGTAATTAGATATATTACTATTAAATAATTCTAGTAAATTGTTAATAAATGAAAAATTAATATTTCAAATCATAATTGATTACAGAGTAAAAACTTTTTTTTTTTTTTTTTTTTTACAGACACAGTGCACATTAACATTTGCACAACTTTAACATGCTTACCATTTGTTCCCTGGCTGTTCGGAAGTCCATGGACTTTGCAGGATTTTTTTCAAATTCATTATCATCCTCAATATCTTGGTCTGTAGATCTCCAAAACTGTTCAAAAGAATTTTTGACTATAACAAATGAATGAATGACTGACAATGTAATAAAGCCATAAAAATAAAAGAAAGTTTGAGACTTAAATACAATCAGACCAAAATTTTTTTAGTCAATTTTCAAAACCAAATGTGACAGTTCTTAATTTATTTAGTGAAGAAAACATACACAAAGTTATATTAGCAAAAAAAAAAAAATACTTGCTCACCTGGTGCCTGTTTTTTTGGTCAATAGCCTGATCATAATCAAATCTTGAGTTTGAACTCTCCTGACATCCAGAACCTTTGAATAGTAAAATAAAAGATTTAACCCTTTTGGCTTCAGCATTCCACATACAAAAAGTGGACTTTATTAGGAATTGACACTTACTGAGTCAACTCCCAATGAAATCAACCTTTTCTGATCAAATACAATAACATCTGCTTTTTAACACATGATGTCCAATACTCCTGCAACATGTGAGCAATTCTAATAGAAATCAAAATTTGGAGAAAAAAGTATTATGCTAAAATATCAAACAAGTTCAAAACTATAAATATAATGAAACTTCAGAAAGGAATATAAAAAGCAAAACAGTAAAATTGTTTGATTATAATAACAAAGAAATGCAGTTACCTGAATTGGTAAATAGAGATTTCTTTGAAAAGAATGTTCTATTCAATGTGTTGCCAATGAAACTTTCCTTTACCCTGTCATTAGCTACTGATGTGAAATCTTGATATTGATGTCCAGATATGTAATTTGTATCATATTGTCCTGATATGTAATTTTGGCTAGCAGATGAGTATTTGTTGCCTCCTATTGTTCCAAAAGCTGTAGGCTTATTGAAATGATAATTACTACCAAAATAATCATTTTTCTTATATGGATCTCCTTTACTGACAACATTTGGTAGTGGTGGTGAGAATTTTGAACTGAAATCTACAAAACATAAATAAAATAGATAATTAAAAAAAAAAAAAAAAAAAAAAGAAAAGTGATTAATCAGCATAATTTAGGATTATTTACAAGAAAGTGTAGAAGATTATTGAAGAACATAATTGGGTAAATGTTTATAAATACATGGAAGAAAAAATTGTTGCAATGTTATTAAAATAGAAACTCTTTTGGCATTGCTTTTAATTTTTTTGTTACAGTAGCAGAATGTTAGGGAATTTAAAGAAAATGAACATATGTAAATCTGATAGATTTAAAATGGTTTTATTATAATTTAGAAAATGATGAATACTGTTTTTAATATCAGTAAATTTTGAAGGACTCAAAATTCTAAATCATATGAAAAATTTTCCACTGCCATAAGTGACAGCAACAGTCAGCAAAGAACAGTTCGTGAACCAGACCAGCCTCAATAAACAGCTTAGACATATACTACCATGACAATGTGTCAGTCAGCAATGATTTTTCTACAAAGCTGCGACAAAAATATATCCTTTATCCCCTCTCTTTGTTCACGGTTTTAAAATTACTGCTATTGCACATAATCAGTCAGCAGTCACACATGTTTCATTAGCAAGTGCTACACACATACGCACACATTGCTGTACCATAACACTTGATTTCCATACTTGCAACAAAAAATTTTTGAAACTTTACAGACTCACTTGTGGCAAATCATTTTGTACAATCGAACTATTTGTTTCTTCATGGGCACAACAAAGAACATTGATTTTTTTATATGTAAATACATATGTCTACTGTATAAATCTTATTGTCATATTTAGCTTGGTCTTCCTCCTTTTCTGCGAAAATCATTTCTTTGCATTGTTTATAATTTTGTGTTGTATTTGTGGACACAATACTCAGATTTTATTTTTCCAACTAAAATCCAGGTAGACACTACACCATCATTTAAAAGAACTATTTATAAAAGGTGTAAATTATTTTTACACGTTATTTTTAGTTATTGGAACAAAAAACAACTTGTCCTGTAAACATTTGAGATTAATGTAACACAATTTTTAACATTAGATTCTGAAGTTCTAAAATTCTATACTTAATTTAAAAAAGGAATATCTATGTACCATCCACACAGATAATTGCTACTGCTTTGTAAAGTAATATATATTCACTACTTGGAATTTTTGAAACAAAACTTTTAAATCAATATTTCATTCATAAATTGGTTGTAAACATGAAAGAAAACATTTGTATTTATTCAGATAAACATCAGAATTTTAGCCATTTTTAAACAAATGAAATATGGTGAAACTGAATAACATTTAAGAGGTGTTAACAGAAATAAAATTATTTGCATGAATGAAAAATGTAATGGTGAAAAAATTGAAATCAAAATGAAGTTTTTTCTTAAATAATTCTTACTGTAATGCAGCAGGATAAACTATATTTTATTTTATTTTATTTGGAGCAAGTACAAATAAATTCCATTTTGAATTCTTGGACAGGCAACATATAATTGACCATGAGAAAAGCAAGGTTGCATAAGGTTAAGCCCAGTAACTTTCATTGATTGACCGTGTGATTTATTAATAGTCATTACAAAACTTACTCTGACTGGGAATTGTAATCATTTAAAATCAAAAGGGTTTTACATCTGTTGGAATCAATGAAATTCTTGGAATCAGTACAGTCTCTCTTTTCCCTTGACCAGTTATAATAAGAGCTTCCGATAAGTGAGATAACATTTTCTTCACAATAAGACGTGTACCATTACATATCTTTGGAGGATCAAGATTTCTTAGCAGCATTAATGGTACTCCTTGTTTTAATACCAACTTGTGTGTGATGGAAGATTCAAAAAATTAAAAAATTCAATAGAGAAGTTAACTGCTTTGTCTGGATCCAGTGTTGTATTATTGAATAGGTATGTCCTTTCTTCTGTTGGGATATCTTGCAGAATCTTCTGATTAATGATCTGTACTGTTTCATTTCTGGGAGCTAATATTGCTTTCTCACACAACTAATTTGTATTCTGGAAGTTATCTGCTATATTGGGGTATACTTCAAAAATCAATTCCTCAATGCTCTCAACCAGAGTGCCGAAAGCTTCAGGAAAGCTGATTTGTCCATCTTGATCATGTGAAATTTCTCTATTTCCAATTTTTTTAAAGGAGGCTACTAAATTACTTTGCTGTCCCATCTCCATTGAGTGCCACTCTCATATTAGTGGTCAAAAAGTGTCTTTCAATATGCTCCCACAGATAAGAACTTTTCAGGCAGGCATGAAGTTCATCTGCAGCTGTTCCTCATTTTACAACAAGGAGTGTTTGTCTGAAATTGCTCGTGATTTCTCTATTTAAGGGATCAGAATTTCTGTTTGGTTTGGGAAGTCCAAACTGGGATAGTTCTTTTTGTGTCACATTTAGCACCTTATCTTCTATTCCACACAGTGCAATATTCACAATCCTCGGGGCCATTTGTATGGCTAGTCCTGGATGAATCAGTTGCATATGATGAAGAATGTCTTCACTCATAGCTTCTCAGTGTTTCACCCACAGATCCAGTGGACTTGAAATTTGCTAGGTAGCAATCATAGCAAAGAGATCACTTATTTGCTTTGGTGATTGATATGAAACTGACTCTTGTAAGGTTTGGTCCCAATGCTCATCATTTTCTGTAAGGCTAAGTTGAATGCATGTAGTATGTATGCCTCAAAAATATCTCAAATTTTGAAATGCTCTTGGACTCCTGACATTATGAAGAAGTCAAAGAAAGAAGCATTCAGAATTTTTTGGATGTACTGTATAAACTCAATCAAGTATATGACTACATTTAATAGCAGGTTTAGTTGGTTGATGTTCTTCTTGCTTTCTTCTGTGGAATTTTCCTGATGTGAATGTGTAATATTTAAACACTTCAGGATAGAGAATTGTTTCAGCAAAATCATCTACATTGCATAGGTTAAAGAATGCCATTAGGGTAGTGCTTTTTTGAGTTTCAATCAATTCCTGAGCTTTGTCTTCAGTAAAATACACCTGTGTTCCATTTTCAAGATGAACACTCAAGTGTTGAACTCATGGGTGTCTGTTGTGAATGTTAAATGAAAAAATTCTCCAGGCAGCCTCATTGCTAGAAATGTATCTTCCTGGCTGAAATTTTTCTACATCATTGTCACTACCCTTATTTATGTACTTGCACACATACTTTATGGACTTAATACTGTTACAAGGTTGAAGCTAAATCCTCCATCTTCAATCTTTCTTCTTCTGTAACTTAGGTAGCTATCTGTATCCATTTTTGTGTGGTTGACAAATTTTCTTGAAAATCTTTTTGTACATCTGTTGTCAACCATGCAGGAACAATTGAAATTCACATAAGCACATGGTCCATGAATCTTGGATCTTCATTAGGATTTGGTAGTTCTGCACTGATGATAGAATGTATTTCATTTAGATTCATCTTCTCCCTTAACCATAAAAGCAAATGTACATGTTGCAGTCCCCTCTTTTCTTTATTGCTGAAATTCATCAGTTTGTTGACCTTCAGCTTAAAAATCCTAGCAACAATATCATGCCTTTCTGATGCAGATTATTGAGGAAGAAGATTTTCTAAAAACTCAAGTCAATTTGGATTTGTAGTAAATGTAACAAAAAATCTAGTTTGCCAAAATGCTTGACATAAGTCAATCAATCTTTTCATGCATGTACCTTGGTCCACCTGTGAATGATGAAGGGATAATAACTATGTGTTCCACATTGACAGTATTGCCATTGTTATATTTTCATAAAAAAAAAACAACAATAAAAAAAAGGAAACTAGCTTTCTTGTCCACGTGACTTTTCACACGTTCCCATTCCTCTTTAAAAGCTGCGTTCTTCTTCTTTTTCATTCTAAATTCTTTCCTTTGTTGATTACTGACTGCTGTGAATTAAGTTCAGTAAAGCCTTAAGAAAAGGTTATTCTATCCTAGCTTTCTTCTCTGTACTACGTAACAATTTACTGAACTTAACTCCTTATGGACAAGATTATTTGTCTGGACAAGTTTGATATATCTTCTGCAGACCCTCAGGCTAGCAAGCTCTGGAGACTATGGTACCGTAATTTTAATTAGTACTTATCAACTATTGCTTCTTTAAACCCGGACAAACTTGAAGTCCTTTATTTAAACATTGGTGCTACTGTTGCTGATGTTATTGAGGGTTGTTCGAGATTTGAACATGCTGCTGAATTGCTGAAAAGTGTTTATGACAGGTCTCCAAGTGTTATTCATGCTAGACATTTGTTGTCTACACATCTGCAGCAGGAAAATGAGTCTGTAGACCAATACCTTCAGGCCTTGAATCGACTCGCTGCTGACTGTTGCTTCCAAGATGTTACTGCTACTACTTACAGGGATGAATCTGTCCATGATGCATTTATACGTGGTCTCCGGTCCCCCGTAATACGTGCCAGACTGCTTGAAAATGATATGCTAACTCTCAAGGAGGCTACTCAATGTGCTAGAGCCTTAGAACAGGCTCACTTTCGTGCTGAATCATACGCTTCTCAGATTGGATCAGCTGCTGCTACTACCACTAGGACTAAAAATGTGTTTACTGATTCTGCCGAGGAGGCCACTTCCACTACTATTACTAAAAATATGCTTTCTGACTTAACTGATTCTCATATGGAGTGTGACTCTGTACAATTGTCTGCTGCCCTTGCTCGTGGCAAGTGCTACAACTGTGGAGGGAAACGTCACTTTCAGGATAATCGTCGCTATTGTCCTGCCCGTGATAAGATATGTCGAAACTGTGGCAAACGCGGTCATTTTTCTAAAGTTTGCCGTTCTACCATGCCAGCACCTTCATGTTCTACCTCAGCTATTATAGTAGCCCGTGCTAAAGACGATGATAGGTCTCCTCCAGTTACTAAAACTTTAGAATTAAAAGGAAAGAGATTAACTGCCTTCATAGACACCAGTAGTTTTGATAACTTTATCAGTGCCCGTATTGTTAAAACAATGAAACTGTCTACTTCTAAAC